CCTGTGGACACCTCAATTTGAGGACTTCTGACCTCCAGACCTATGAGAGAGTAAGTTTCTCTTGTTTTAAGCCACCAAGCTTATGGTTATTTCTGGCAGCAACTCTGGGAAAATAATACAAGGACTAAGAGAGCAACACCCTTCCCTCATGGGTTTTCCCCCCAGTCAGGCACAGTGAGGAGGACAAGTAGTACTGGGCCCTGAAGGGCTGCGGAAGGGCACCCAAGTGAGATTTGGGCTGGCCATCCAAGGTGGCCAGGCAGAGGGCAGTCTGTTCAAGGCTTGGGCCTCCAGGGCACTGGGCTTGGGTTGGGAGGGGGGTGTTAGAGAGAAGAGACAGCAGAGCCTCATCACCGGGGTTTTGGGAGCCCCTGAGCATAGGTGGCCACTGGAGGGGGGATGGAGGGAAGGGGAGGGATAGAGGAGAAGTGTGGGGGCTCTTGTGGATATACAAGGGTGCCACCTGGGGGATGGGGAGAGACCAGTAGGAGGAGCACCTGGCAGAGACCCTTACAGAGTTGGGCTGTCTCACTAGAAAGCCTGCAATTTGATCTTTGGTTCAAGGTGCTTCGAAGCATGTCTGGAATGGAGTAAGTGAGCAGTTAGTATAATTGTCATTGTTGTCCTGAATTTGTCTTTTTGGCCATTTTGCCACATCTCGTCAGCTGACTTTACACCCAAGGGAGGCCAGGCCTGTCCCTGCGCATGTCCTGTATGTGTTCCCCCCACCCCTCTGTCTCTGGTGTCCTTGTTGACCCCCTGTTGGATTATCCTGAAAGCTGCAGAAGGGAAAGTCAGGAAGTGCTCAACCAGGACATGGACTTGGCGGGGGCTGGGGAGAGGGCTGTGGGGACAGGGCTGGGAGGGCCTGGCAGGTGAAGAGCTTCCTTTGGACTGGTCTTCCGGCATACATATTTAATGGGGGTGATGATGGGACTTGTGGGATTGAAGTGGCCAATATTGCTGGAAGAAGATTTAAATGTGCAGAGGTCTATCAGGGTTGTTGGCCTGTGGGGCTGTAGGTGGTAGGAGTCGGGGTGGAGAGTGCTAAATGTAGGTGATGGGGGATCACTAGGGGTGGCTCATTTCAGGGGCTCTGTCCGCAGTCAGATTTCTAAGGGAGGAACAAGTCAGCTACATCCAGGTTCTGTGACCTTGGATACATTTTGACCTTAGAAACCTTGTCTGTCAGTGGGGATGTGGTACCTCCCTCGGTGGGAGGATCTGTGAACTGAGAAATTCTTTCTGAATTAAAAAGAGCTGCTTTTTACCAAGTCATACCGTTTTCTTCCTCCAATATCTTTGCTCCAAAGCTGCCTCCTCCAAGAAGTCTTCCTTGATCAACATATCCCTTTCCAATTACAAAGCATCTATGCAGCATCCAGGGTTGGTTGGTCCTTTCAGGAAATATGAGTTGGGCACGGCCATGTGCTGGTGCTTCTGGTACAGCAAAAACCAAGACAAAACAGCTCCTGTCCTTGCGGTGAGGAGGGGTAGGGGCCCATAAAGGAAAGTGCAGGCTATATAGCAGTTGGCACAGTGGAACAATGTGACAGGGTGAGCGTGGGAAGGCAGGGCATTAGTCATGTAGCTGCCTGAGTGGCATCTGAGCAGATGCATGGAGGAATCAGGGAGTGAGGAGAGGCCTCCAGGCAGGCAGCGGTGCAGACAGCCTGGAGGAGCAGGCTGGGTGTGCAGGCCATGGGAGCTCAATGGATGGGAGGAGCTGTGCTGGCAACGGAGGATGTTGGGTGCAGCCGGTGGCCTTGTGGGCCATGCTGAAGGCCTCACTTTGACTCTGAGGGGATTGGGAGCCACCTAGATGGGTTCAGTGGATGGTGGTGGGGTCTGACTTCTATGTTCAAGCCATGGTCCTGCCAGGGTGAGTGGAACAGTAGCTGAGAGAGTTGTGAGGGGCCCTAACAGGTAGCTGTCACTGGTTGGAGAGGTCGGCCTTGGGCACACTTGATGTTAGACTCAGCGGGGTTTGCTGAGGCTCAGGTGTGAGGAGGTGGGGAAGGTGAGTGACAGAGAGGCCTGGCTCGAACTGTTCGCGAGGTGGCGTGGCCATGTGCTGAGACAGGCGGTGGGGATGACCTCACACCCTGTTCTTGGAGCTGACCGGTCCTGCTGAGGCGCCGGGCAGCCAGCAAGCTGCCTGGAGTTCATAGGCATGTCCACAGGAGACTGCATTTGGCGGAGTGGGCTTGGTGCAGCCATCTCGGGAACTGTGTGCAGCCTGGAGGGGGTGCGCACTCTGTCCTGTCGGCGTTTTCAGGGTGACAGATAAACCAGCGGCAGAGATGAAAGACTACGAAATGAAAGCACAAAAGATTGGAGCCATCTTGGGGTCTGGGGACAGAGGCCAGAGAAAGTGCAGAGGCAGCTGCCTTTCTTCCTGGGAGTTACCTTTGGTCCCAGCTGACTCTTGGTTGGATGTCCTGCCTGGCCCTAGGGTGCCTAAGCAGGACTCCACACTTGGGACTAAGCATGGGCCCCTGCTTCTTGCCTCCAGCAGATGTGGATATGTTCCCATTGCCTGCTGCACTGGGGTTTAGCGGGGAGGAGAGAGTAGGTGCCTGTGTTCATCCGGTGGTGTGTTTTGCAAGTGATCCTGGCCATTAGGGAAGGCTGAGCATCCTTGGGGCTGCTATGCAGAGGTGAGGCTGGGAGGAGTATGCAGGCTGAGGGAAAAGCCCTGTAGTTGGCACCTCTGGGGGGAGGTTAGGGAGTGCAGCCTGGGTCCTGAGCAAGGTTTGGAGAACTCAGAGGGCCTTGGTAGAGAGTTGGGTGCCTGGGTCTCAACTTTTGAACAGTTGGAAGCTATGGAAGGGTTTGGGGCTGGGGACCATCAAACTTGAGTCTGAAATGTGCTGTTCACCCCAGAGCTATTGTCCTTGAATCCAGGCAGCAGACCTGTCTAAATCATGTTGCTGGTTGTGAGGAGGGGATGTTAGGTAGCAGGTCTGTAGTCCTGTGGGCAGCTGTGGCCCCACGAGTGAGTGAGAACATGTCCTCAACACACACAGGCAGGCTCTCCCTCTTCTAATGCGTTGGGCCAGCCCAGGCTCTTCCCATTGGCTATGTCTCCCCATGGTCCCAGGGGAGCAGGTTATGCAGACCAGGCCACTGACAGGTAGTTTCTCTCTTTTTAATTGAATTATATCTTATATATGAATGTGAGTCAGAAAAACTGCCCAAACTGCTTCTCCTCTGCTCTCACACCACAACACAAGAGACTCCTGGGACTGTGGGCTTTTCTCCCTGCCAGCAATAAGTAGTCAGTTCTGTAGTGGGCATCAGCTGGTGTTCCCCCCCCCCACCTCGTCCAATTCCATTCTGACACTATCTACCTGGAGACAGCATCAGATCCCACAGGTTGAGTGTCAATCCCACAAGACTGCCCCCCCGCTTCAGATGCCAGTTGCTAGCCCCAGGTTGTTTTACCTGTGCTTCTGACAATTGGCTATAAGTTGGGGTCCCACATCCTACTCCTCAGGTCTAATTTGCTGGAACAGCTCACAGAACTCAGGGAAACACGTTTACTGGTTTATTATAAAGAGTATTACAGAGGATATAGATGAAGAGATGCTTAGGGCCAGGTATGGGGGAAGGGATGGGCAGCTTCCGGGCCCTCCTGGGTGACCACCCTTCATGTGTTCGGCTCTCTAGAAGCTCTTTGAACCCTGACCTTTGGTGTTTTTATTGAGGCTTTATTACATAGGCATGGTTGACAACTGCGTAGAAATGTGATTGAACAAAGAGGGTATGATCTTATACTAATAGACTGAATGGGGAAACCTGGCAAGGTCTGTCTGCACAGCATTCCTTCCTTCTGGGTATGTGGCAGGGCCCCTTCTGAAATGGGGGTCTTAAGACCTATAGTCAGTCAAGGTAGGTCAGAATTTTTTGATGGTCAGCTCAAGACAGAAAGACAGAGGAAGATGCGAGTGTATTTTCAGTTTAGGGCCTGCCTCAGGGAGAGAAAGGAGCAGGTGAGAGGAGGGCAGGAGAAGGTCAGAGAGAGGGAGACGCTGTTTCCTGAGGCCCAAAGTGCGCCAGCATTGTAACACATGACTGACAAGGGCTGTGGGGGTCGGGAGCCAGGAACCATGGACGAAAATGCTTATCTATCTCACAGCATGCTTCCATGTCATTCCCACCAGACCCAGTTAACAATTCTAGACTCCAGACTCTCTTTTTTGTCTTCCCTGAGTCAGTAACTCCCCCCAATATAACCACTGTTCCCACCTTTGTCCCACAGCTTAGGTCTGCCCATTCTTGAACCTCATGTGAGTGGAAACACACAACATCCCACAACAGGTCGCCTTTTGGAGGTGGGATTTGCCGTGTCGATGTAGCAGTAGCTCAGCCTTTCTCATTGCTGTGTAGTAGCCCATTGCTTGGTCATCACAGTTTATTCATTCTCTTATTGATGGACATTTATGTCACCAAATTTTGGCTGTTTTATGAGTGATGTGGCCCAGATTGTTCTAGAACATGTCTGTTAGTTCACAAGCACTGGTTTCCCTTGGGTGTCTACCCAGGAGTAGATTTCTTAGATCACAGGCTATACATGTGTTTTGCTTTAGTAGATACTGGGCAGATGGGTTCATCGTGAATAAGTAATTGGCTAGCGCTAGCGAGTCATTTCCCGGCCCCTCATTATTCCCCGGTTAACTGGAAAGCTCAGCCTCTGGAGGCCTTGAGATCAGAGCCATCTGCCCGTTACAGCCTGTGAGCCGCTGATACAGCAGGCACCATGTCCTATCACTTCTCACTGCCTGGAGAAGTATCCTGCCCCCTCTGAGAAAGTGGCTGGCACACCCATGGCCCAGCAGAGGGGGTTCAGGCTGAGACCCTGTGCCTGGTCCACTGCTCTTCCCCAGGATTCACTTGGGTCCCTTCAGCCCCCTCCTTGGATAGCAGGTGTTGACTGGAGAGCAGGGCCAGGCCCCTTGGGCTTCCTCTGAGCACCCTTCCCCATGGCTTCTCTCCTCCAGGCACAAGCTTGCTGCAGGAGGTGGTCTACTTGGTGAGCCAGGGAGCTGACCCCGATGAGATCGGCTTGATGAACATTGATGAGCAGCTCCCAGTCTTGGAGTATCCACAGCCAGGCCTAGACATCATCAAGGTACTCTCTGGGCCAGTGGCATCTGGCCTCAGCTTTCCTTTGGGGGATGTTTCTGCATTTGCACCCTGATGAGTGAAAGTTGCTTTTGAGAGGATTCAGGAGAAAGCAGGTAGCCCCAGATAACCAAGAGCGAAACTGACAGGCCTGAGCCCATGGTGAGGGACCCTGGAATCTGATCAGGGTGGGTGACATAGCAGCTTGAGGGTACGAAGTGGAAAGGACATGGGGTGCACAATGGAGGGCCCTCAGTGGGACGCAGGCTCTGGGTCTCCCCCTTGCCTGCTCCCAGGTGCTACTGCCTGTCGAGGTTGCTGGGTCGGGTGCATATACATCAAATATTTCATGTCAAGAATAAAATCAGTCTAACCCCAGATTCCAGTCCACCTTGCCTTCTGTCGTGCCTGGAGTGTTCTCTTCACCCCACCCCCTGCACCTCTTTAGCTCAGCCTCACTCCCTGTGTGGGCAGAGCCACAGTCTTTGCCACACCTGTCCACCCTCCCGCTGGAGGAGCAATCTGAAACACAGCTCTGGAAGTATGTCTGCCTCTGCGCCATGTCACAGCAGAAGATCTCCGTGTGGGTCGCTCATGTGACCAGGCCCCTGTCGGCATCTCAGCCTCAGGTCCTCTGCCTGTGTGGAACCCTTCGGACGGTCATTCAGTGTGCCGAGGGTCCACCCTGTGCTGGGCACTGCTGTTGGTATCAAGTGCCGTAGTGACTGACAGCCTCGGGACATGGCCTCAGCTTGGGAAGCCGTAGTAGGCAGTGGTCAGTGCTAGAAGGGGAGCGGATGGGGGAAAGGACAGGCAGGCCTCTTGGGGATATCTGAGGAAGGTCCTGGAAGAGGAGAGGAGAGGGAACGGTGAGCCCAAAGACCCCACGGCAGAGGGGCCTGGCTTGTCATGGGGCGGTTGGCAGGCCTAGGGGCTGTGGTACGGCAGGGGAAGGGGGCTTTGGACACCCAGTCCTGCTGTGACTTACAGGATCACTTGCTGCTGATAGGTCTGAGGGGCAGGTGGCAGTAGCGAGAGCATCGGGCTGGATTGCTATGCTGCTCCAGTGTTGCCCAGGTTGCCTGGTGCCTCGTGCTGATCTTCCAGGCCCATCTCAGGGCCCTTCCTCAGTGGGCCCATTCTTGGCTACTCCGGGCAAGGCCAGGTCCTCTGAGCAAAACTTTGTCCCCTGGCTGAGGACAGGGACCCTTGTCTCCACCCTGAGGGTCCAGCCTGGGGGTGGTAATGTCTCAGACGTTTGTCTGGGGTGCCATGTGCTGGTCCTGGCTCAGCCAGCGACCCTCTCCCTGAGAGGAGACCCAGAGTGACAGCCTTGCCTCCTCTCCCCTGCCTCTGCCCCTCCCTCTGACCCTGTGCAGGAACTGACATCTCCCCGCCTCCTCAAGAGTCACCTGCCCTACCGCTTCTTGCCCTCCGACCTCCACAATGGGGACTCCAAGGTAAGCTGCCATCTCCTCCACCTCCCTGTGTGATCAGATCCTGCCAAGAGGAGTCTGAGGCTCCCATGTGGGTCACAGGCAGGTGTCTGGCACACACCTGGCCCAGGGAGCTCTCCACCCAGAGAACTTAGACTTGTGAAGACCTCTTCAGAGACTGTCTTGGGTCATGTGTCTCTAGTTTCTTAGTTAGTGTTTAACATTTGTTTCTCCCTCATGACTGAACATGGACGTAACCAGCTGAAGCCCAGAGTGTGCCTGCATGGGGCACAGGACTCCCTGCCACTTTCAAGACACCTGATTGTCTTCATTTTCTCAAAAACAATCAGCATCAAGTTGATGAGGTTGATAGTTCTCCTCACCAGGATCAGGATCATCCCTTTTCTGTCTTCTATTGATTGTAAAGTAGTACTAGAGGACAACAATGTAGCAAAGTTCTCAAGTCATCATCCTGTAGACGCAGTTGTGTGGGCAAGAGGACATATCTCTGCCGAGATAGGAATGGTGGAAGGCAGTTGCTGCGTGGGTCTGAACTTGATGCTGGAAACAGGCTGTTGGTCTGTAATGCACAGGGGCGGGATGTAGGTGGGTTGGTCCTGTGCAGAGCATCCATGCCTGGCAGGGGAGAGGCCCACTCACCTGTTCTGTCACCCACAGGTCATCTACATGGCTCGCAACCCCAAGGACCTGGTGGTGTCCTACTACCAGTTCCACCGCTCCCTGAGGACCATGAGCTACCGAGGCACTTTCCAGGAATTCTGCCGGAGATTTATGAATGATAAGTGTAAGTGTGGTGGCCTGACAGCATGTTGGAACAGAAGCAGCTAGTTGTCATGGAAGCCAGCAGATACTAGGCCTCCTCTGTGTGTGCTGTGTGCGTTGCAGGCCTCGTAAATAAGACCCGCGTGCCCTTTTATAGGTGAAGATGCTAGGGCCGAAGGTGCCATGCGCTTATCCGAGATCATAGAGCTTGTGTATGGCAGAGTGGGTCCATCTAATCCCAAACCCTTCTCTCCTATACACGGTTGTGATGTCTGAGTAGTTCCTCATTTAAACACCCCTCCTGCCTAGGTTTCCAACAGAGAGAAAATGAAAACAGTAAAAATGGAGGCTCAGATGTCACTGACGTTAGTGACAGAGGCCGGAGTCAGGTGTGACAGGCATGTGGGCCTTTGGCTGAACCTCAGGGATAGACAGGTGATTGAGGCAGGGCACAGTTGATGCGGGCAGTGCCCTGTCCAGGAGGTTTGTGGCCACAAGGAGAAAGGCAACTGAGCCAAGTGCTGTTCTTGGGCCCCCCTTCGAGCCCTGCACTGCTCGCGAGCAAGGCTGGACCTTAGGATGGGGGAGCAGGCCCACTCCCTCCCAGTCCTTACTCTTTACCCTGCCCCAGGCCTTCTGGCCCCTTGGGAGAGGTGGAAGCGTCTTCTCAGTTTGGCTCTGCTCCTGCTTTCCCCAAGCAGCACCCATAGCTTTGGGGATCCTGGGACGGGAAGTGGGCAGCGAGGGTACGCAGCCAGAGGAGCTGTGGATCGAGTCGTAGCCATGCTTCAGTTAAATCCTCCCCTAGACCTTTTCCTACCCACGTCTGAAAACACATTTCTTATTTTTCTTCCCAACCCAAGTACATGCAGCTGCGTTGTTCAGTGTGGCTTATCAGGGGCTCTGCAGTGAGATTGTGTGACAAGATTAAGATGAATCACGTGACAGAGATCCAGGAATATCATGTCCCCACAGTTCTTGAAAGTTGGGGTGGCCAAACTGGAGCTGCCTCCCTGGGCTGGGTCGGGGGGAGGGCCCCCTGCCCCCACCCTTGTGCTGCAGCAGTACAGACGTGGCTCTTGCACTTTATTAGCTCACAGGGCCTGAACGTCCCATCGTGTGTCTTAGTTTTCAGTTTTCTACCATTGAATCCCTGCTTCAGCTGTGCCAGCTTAGGAGCAGGCGCCTGCAGGGATAGGAGACCACCGGCGCACCTGAGACCCTGGGCCTACCATCTGGGATGTGCCCTTGTGGTCTACCAGGCACTTGGAGCAACCTACTCATGAGGTTCCAGAGCCATTTCCTAAGGCCCAGCATGCACTCCAGCCTCTATGGAGCACGGGGACACCCCACAAACAGCCAGAGGCTGCCAGATTCAGACTGTTGTGTGGGGTAGGGCTCACACACTTCGTGCTTAGGCAGCAGTTAAAGTTGTCTTAGTGTAGGCCTGTCTGTGTTGTCAAGGTCACAGACCTGCCCACCACTGAGTGCAAAGCTGCACCCAGAGTCCCCTCAGAACCCTGTTGACATGTTGACTCACTTCCCAGTGTTTCCTTTCTTTAGTCACTCAGTGATTACAGCCAGGGCACAGATCAGAAGGAATGCAGGACGATTTTCTTCTCTGCCTGGGATTCTAAAGAAGTCATGAACTGACAGGCATGAGGAGGCCCGGAAGGATACTGTTTTCTAACAGAAAGAGGTTGAAGGTCATAGCACATTGTAAAAGCTCTGAAAAGACCTCACATAAGGATGTTGTGATGCACGCACTCCATGGAGAGGGGGCCGTGGGCTGCCCTGGATGGTGACAAGTACAGTGTGGAGGACTCTGTGACAGGCTCATGTGGCATGCGCAGTGTGGAGGACCTGCTCCATTGGCAGGGTCCTTCTGGGGGTGAGTAGTGGTGATTGCTGTTCCTCCCAGGCAGTCCAGCTGGGCGATTCCTCGGAGCGGAGTGAGACAGGTGGAGAGAGGAGGGAACTGGAGTCCTCCCTTCCCGGTTCAGGCATTTCAGTGGGAAGACTCGGTCCCACCAGCTGGCACCACATTCCTGTCTACCTGCTGAACCAGAGACTCAGCATGTGGCCCAGTGTGCAGTCCTGAGTGCCTTGCTTCTTCCAAAGCTCTGACTCAGTTTCCCCATGCAACTCTGTCTCAGAGGACTTCATGCATTGTCCCTTGGATTAGAGAGGGATTTTTCTTTATCTTCCATGTTCATGGGGCCTCTGACTCCTCTTTCAGCCCAGGGTCTACTCTGCATAGATTTTGTTCCAGCTAGATGGACCTTGAGTCAGGGCACCAGGGCTTCCCTGCCTAGGCTCCCGTGATTATGAACTTTTTGGTGACTTGGGCAAGTCTCTTCCCTGCCCTGGGACTTTTCCTCTCTGAAGAGCGAAGGGGTCCTGTATGAAGTTTTGAAGGTTGGCCCTGTGTGTCTGTGTGTCTCTTCCTGGTGTCCAGGAACATGTGGAGGGCTTGCTGGGGTACAGGGGTCAGCTTCTGACAGTGGGAATCCTGTAGGGGGCCTAGGGGCTGGGGCCCAGCAGGAGAAACCTCCACAGAACCCACTCCCAGCCGGCACCTCTTATCCAGCCATGCCTGCTTCCCACTGCTTGGGGTCAAGGTTCCCCCACTGCATGATCATCCTTCTCTGAGGCCTTACTCTCTAGGTTATGGAGGTCCTTTGGGAGAAGCCCTCACAGTGATGGGCATGTCCTCCTGATAGGTGGGTGAGAATCAGTTGTTTGTATAAAGCTGGCTGGAAACCCCAATGAGTTGCTCACTGCCTGTGTCCCCACCCCAAGCCAGAAGTTCTGGAACAGCATAGGAGGTGCAGGCTGAGCTGCGGGAACAGGAGCTCTGCCCTCGGGTGTCAGGATGGGGCTTCCTTCCTCTCCTCAGCCTCAGGTTTCCCGGGGAATTCCTGGATTCCCACAGATGCTGCCTGTGGCCCTTTTGCCTGGCAGAGCCCCACATTCTGGATCTGTCTTAGAGCCTCCCACACCCCACCCCACCCTGCTGGCAGCTTTGACTGGCCCTCTGTTCCAGTCCCTCTGGGTTTGTTCTCTTCCTGGTTAAGTGGATAAACTACTGGGTAGTGTTGAGCTCCACTGCCAGGTGCCATCGATGACACCTTCCCAAGGCCTTCACCCCAGCAGTCAGGTCTTCAAGGTGTGCAGAATGCAGGGAGGGGCAGGGGTATGGGATGCTGGCAGAGGAAGCTTGCTCAGAATGTGAGAGGCCGGGGGGCTTGTCTACAAGCATTACAGTATCCTTGTCACAACTGCCACGCAGCAGGAGGGGAGCCTGAGGAAGGCAAGGTGGTGCTGTGTGTGTGTGTTCCTCCTCCCGGCTGTGTGCTCACCCTGCCCCTGTCTCCACAGTGGGCTACGGCTCTTGGTTTGAGCATGTGCAGGAGTTCTGGGAGCACCGCATGGACTCGAATGTGCTCTTCCTCAAGTATGAAGACATGCATCGGGTGAGTTGTGCTGGGAGCTGCTGTCCTGGGGTGCCGTGGCCCTCGCCCAGCAGCTCCTGATGCTGGAACTCTTCAGAGGTCATGCAGGGGATGCTCAGAGCCTGCTTACCCCAGAGACCACAGTGGACACCATTGGAGGTGCCCTGCATAACCTCTCCAAACCCTGGGCTTTGGGGGCAAATGCAGGTTCCTACAAGTTCCATGCCATGCCCAGTGTCCCCAGGGGCAGTGCTTGGGCCTCCAGCCTGTGCTCCACTCCTGGCACCTCTGCTGGCCCAGCCCAGGGCGGTTTCTGGATTGGGCCGTGGGATGCAGTGCTGCAGAAAGACCTGATCATTTGTTTCCCTGCCTTAGCAGTCGATGTCGAGCAGCAGCCAGGCTCCGCCGCTGCCCGGACAGCCTCTCCATCGTGCAGGAGTTCTAGAAGCACCACGTGGACTCAAATGTGCTCTTCCTCAAGCATGAAGACAGGCTTACTCTGGGGGCAAAGTGCCGAGATGGCAGTCTACATTTCTCGTCTTAGCCTGTTTGCCTCAGAATCGCAGCTCTCCAACTGCTGCCCAGCCCTAGGGATCTGCCTGCAAGTGGCTTTGTCTCTGAGTGCTGAGTGTGGTGCTTGGAAAGGCCATGTGCGTTGCTAGCTTTGGAAGGCGTGCACTCGCTGGACGCCAGGCCCTGCAGGTGGGGGGATGGAGAAGTGAGGCACGCCTCGCCTGGCCTGTACCCCAGAGCTGTCCAGCGGGGAGGCAGACAAGTCATCCCTATCATTGTGAGCACTTGTAAAGGGAAGTACCCTCACCACGTGCCAGGTACTATTGGAAGTGCTTTGGTGTGGGTTAGCGTGTCACTTTTAACGTGTGTCTTCTCAGCCTGATTTGTCCCGGTAATCAAGAAATGTGCTATTTCTCTCCCTCCTAGACCCTGCTCCCCTCCCAGCATCTTTCCCTGTTCCCTAGACCCCGGGGCTGCTCCCCCTCGCCTGTCTCCTTGCTCTTCTTCCTGAGCCCACTCCAACCAGCCCCCACCCCCTACCCCATCCCAGGCTGCTGTCAGGGTCCCCACTGACTTCCTCATTGCTAAAGGCGTGATCAGTACTTCCTGGCACAGCTCGTCATGTCCCCCTGGCTGCCAGGATACCACCCTCTGCTGGTTTCCTGCGGCTCTGGCTGCTCCGTCCGCTCTCTGCTGGTTCCTTTTCTTCTCCCTGATGTTAGGAGGCCACATGCCCTGGCTTCTGGCCTCAGCCCTCCCTCTTAACTCTGCTCACTCCCTACTATTTGGTCCACCGCCCACCCTCTGGTCTTGGGAGACCATGGCCACACTGAACATCAAGCCAACTGTGTGCCCTCCTAGACACACGTGAAGGAGACCAGACCTAACATGTCCAAGCCAAGCTCTGTGGGTTGCCCCTCACGTCCTCTGCTGTTCCCCTGTCCGAGTTATGGCCGCTGACTCCACTCTGTTCCCCAGGCAGAAAATCCTGTGTCATCCTTGTCACCTTTCTTTCACATCCTACATCTGTTTTCCAAATCCTGTGGACTCTGTCTTTGAATTATGTCTCACGACTGACCATTTCTCCCCAGTTCTGCTCTGTCTCCCTGGCCCAAGTCAGCATCATCTCCAGCCTGGATTATTGTAGTAAACTCCTCAGCGGCCTCCCTGCCTCTTCCCCAGCCTCCCTGCTAAAACTCAAACCAGACCATGCTCTTCTTCTGCCCTTATGCCACTCTGGGTGAATGTCAGACCCACACAACAGATGCCCACATGTCTAACTGACACTGCCTTCCTTGCTGTTCCTTGAACCTGTCTAACAAGCTTTTGTTAATGTTTGCCCTGCCCCATCTGGAATGTTCTTCTCTCAGATATCCATGTGGGTCATTCCCTCACTTCTTTCAGGTTCTTGCTCCTGTGCTACCCTATCTGTGAGACCTTCCCTGACCTCCACTTAGAATTGGACCCCCCTCCTGCCTCCCCAGTGCTCCTCTTTCCTGCTTCCTTTTTCTCCACAGCATGTATCGTCTTGTAATGTATTTTATCGTTTGTGTCTTCATTTTATTACTGTATTAGAATAAAGTCTCTTGGGGGAGATAAAGTCTCTTGGGGGAGATTTTTGCATTAGGATAAAGTCTCTTGGGGGAGATTTTTGTCTGTCTTGTTCATGTACCAATGTCTGACACATAGTAGGCTCTCAGTAAGCATTTGTTGAACGAATGAATGACCCTTCAAGGTAGAAACTCTTTGACCATGAGAATCCTAAGGCTCTGAGAGTGAAGGGCCCAGGCAGGGCTGTGCCGCTGGTGCAGGAGGAGCTAACTCTGCCCCAGGCGTTGTGCTTTGGTCTATGCTCCCAACGCTGCCCTGCAGCACAACAGGTGCTCAGTGCTCCGAGGTCACTCAGGGAGGGCAGGCTGCCACCTGGGCTGCTGGGAGGAGTTGGGTTTGCTCGTCGGTGTGGCAAGCTCTGCGCCAGGCAAACGTGGGGGCCCTGCCTTCCTGATCTGGGCCACGGCCTGTGCAGAGGTATGTGCTGCATGTGTGCTAGGAAGAGTTCAGATAGTGATGGCGGAGATGGGCACAGGAAGAGAGGGGATTTTGCTGGAGGTGACATTGGAATTGGCAGACAGGGTCTGGCACGGAGTCTTGATTGGTCCTAGAAGTCTGATAGGAAGCTTGGGAGGAGGAACAGGCTCTGGGTGTTGAGTTTAAGGGACCTTTTGGGACAGCTAGCAGGGACTCCCATGAATAGAGGGTCGGATGACTCCTGGGCTCAAGGAAGGAGCTTGGATGGAGGTTCGGAAATTCAGGTACTTAGGGGTACCCATCACACTGGTGGCCCTTAGTGAGTCCTGCCTCCTAGTGTTTGTGCCCTTGTGTGTCCCCTCCCACAGTGACTCTGGGCTGGGCCAAGTGAGTTTGGAGTCAGTAGGACATGCATAAGCATGCTGCAGACAGAAACTTGCGTACCTGGGCCTGCCCTTGCAGAATGCTGCCACCACCTTGAAAAACTCCAGGCTGTCCTACTCAGGAAGCCGTGGGGACTAGGACACTGGCCCTGCCAGCAGCCCTTATCCACTGCCAGACACGTGGGCAAGGCCATCTTGGGCCTTCTGAGCCCAGGGTCCTGCCAGATGGCTGCAGCCCCATGAGGGACCCCAGCATGACCAGCTGAGGAGTTCCTCCAGCTGAGCCCCGTCCAAGTGCAGAACTGTGAGCAAGTGGAGGGTGCTTTATTACTGCATTTGGAATGGCGTGATAGACAGCAACGTGTAAATGCCCGTGTGTTGGACGAGATGCAAGAGGCCAAGCCCTGACCCTGGGGTCCCAGTCCCCACAGAAGGAAGAGGAGACTGAAGAGGGACAGGAGGGGTGGGATGGGCAGTGGGCCGGAAGGAGAGCAGAGGGGGTAGCCTCAAGAAGCCACAGGGAGGCGGGGGCAGCAATGCCATGTGTGACTGAGGGACCCAGGAAGGCAGGCGTGAGGAGGACACCTGAGGTTGACTGGTTGAGGCCTTTGGAGCACTGCAGTGTGGTTGACGGGGCATCCGGGAGAGACCAGTATATGGCTGGAAACATGAGGTAGCTTGTGGGTTGATGAACCCAGGTTCTAGGGAGAGTTTCATTTATACTTTATAGAAGAGACTTGAGCATTTTCTAGGTGTTGGGAGAAGGCAGGATGTGAGGAGGGGGTTGAAAATGACAAATAGTGTTTTCCAGGAAGAGACAGAGCAGGACAGGCAGGAAACACCAGTTACCTGGACTTTGGGAGAGAGCAGTGAGGATGAGGGTGCAAGTGTGGACCATAAGGGAACATTTGTGGAAGTGTGGCCTGAGCCAAGGCTGGGGGATGATATCGGTGCTGGGACAGACAGTAAGCCAGGCTGTGGCAGCGGCTGACAGACCACACAAACAGGTTTAGGTCGAATAGCAGTGGAGGTGGAGGTAGGATGGGGAGTTGGTCAGCCAGGACATAGGAGAGGTGAGCTGAGAGGAAGTTGAGCCAGGGAAAGACGGGCAGTGGTAGTCAATGATGAGTTGGAGTTCAGAATCCCAGGGGCAGAAGATCAGCCCTGCACTTCACCACATCCTTACAGGAAGATTCCAGGTGGATTAGAGACTTGAATGTGAACACATCACAGGAGAGCACTTCATGGTGCTGGGTGCCGGGTCCTCCGTTCCTTCTTGGGTACCTGAGCTTTAGTGTCTGTGATGAGGACAGGCCAGGTCCACCTTCTCAGGGATGTGGCATTTGGGGGCTCATTTGGGGTACAGGAAGGAGCCCGTCTGTGTGTCTGCTGCCTGCCAGTGCTTACTGTAGGTTATCCAATTGAATCCTCACCATGGCCCTGTGTCACCAATGAGGAAACAGTCCAGAGAGGTCATGCGGCCTGTCCAAGGTCATACGCACTGTGGAGCTGACTGCTGGGCAAGCTGGCCTCACTGCTCACCTGAGCCCCCTACCTCCTGTCTGCCTCTTTTCCACATGACTTGAAACAGAGCTTCATTTAGGGTCCTTTCTCACACAGTGAGGATGGTGTGGTAGAGAGGAAGGTGTGGCCTGAGCTGAAATGGAACCCATGCCCTGCCATGAGCTTTGGGAAGCCTTAGGCTACGGCCACATGTGCTCTAGGCTCTGGGCTTGACCTGGGCTCTGGACTTGAGCTGCCCAGGCCACAGTCATGCCTGCCTCACTTCTTTGTCAGCTAGGGAGATGATGGCACCCACTTTCACAACATCCGCTGAGGGGATTGTGTGTGGCATCACCTACATATAGGTCTGACACTGGACCCACTTGGCAGTTAGCAAATGCATAAGAAATGTTTATTGCTCTTTGTACTTGTTTTTTTTTTTTAATTAATCAATATTTTTTATTATGGTTTTGTGGGGTACAGTTAAGGGTTAGGTGTACAATTACGTTTCTTTCAGGCACCCTGTTGATAAGAGGTGTTTTCCCATCCCCAGACAGATATTTGCTACTGTTAATCCCATCCCCCTCTCCCCCATAGTTTCCCAGTACCGGCTCTTTGCACTTGTTTGTGAGGTATAACTTGCACAGTAAGTATACAAATCCATATATACATGGCTTGACAACTTTTTACGTGTAACACCAGTGTAACCACTACCCAGATCCAGAACATTCTAGCTTCTCCTGGTTAACCCTCTGCTTCCCAGAGGTGATTGCCATCAGCTGTCTCTTGCCAGACAGAGCTTAGTGTGGCTTTGGCACCTCACATTGGGTGTGAAACTCCATGGGTTCTTGGCATCTGGCTTCTCTCAGCATCGTCTGAGGTTCATCCGCCTGTGTTGTAGCAGTGGTTTGTTCTTGTCCATTTCTTTGCAGTAAGTACTGCATTGCAGCATAAAGACACCACACTTTAGTCCTCTGCTCAGTGCTACTGAGTATTCAGGTTTCCATTTAGGAGTGGTTAGGAGTAATGCTGCTGTGAGCCATCTTGTGTCTTGGTGTATATCAACGTTCTTGCTCCTTGAGTCCATCCCCAGGGGTATAATTTCTTGAGCTCTGGGTATGTGCCTGTCAGCTGGTCACTGTTATGCCATCTATGATATGGCAATTGGGGGCATGTACTGCCCAGGGCTGGTGAGGGCTCCCATGTGGGAAGGTGATGGGAAGAGCACCCAGTTTGGCCAGCTGCACACACACCATGGGAGGTGCTGCCAGGTCAGCAGTTCTTCCTGGAGCTTCTGTTTCCTCAGTAATAGGGACTGAAGGCATTATTTTACTGGCAAACCACGAGTTCTACAGTCAAAACAGACACCTTTGTCGCAGCCCCGTAGTGGTAAGTTCATTCTTCTCTATCTCCTCCATGAGAGTGGCCAGACCTTTTGTGTTCAGTCCATTAGAGTCAAGGCCACCAGCCTGCCTGTGCCTGTTGGAGCCAATACGGGCTTTGACCAAAGCTGCTGAGTGGCAACATGGCGTGCCTAGTCAGTCGGTTTTAATGTCTAGTTGTCGTGGGTGCATTCTATTTTCAGAAACTTCAGTAATGCCGGATGTCTTTAGTGGAAATTAAATGACAGCAATCATATTTTTAGGAATTAATAATGTTTGTGTCTTACTCCAAAAACTAGCCCTGAGTCCCCAGGGCCGATCCCCAGGATTGTGGAATGGGTCCTGTGAATGCTCACTGTGGCGCTTAATGGTAGTGCTCAAGCTCTCGCTGCCTGTGTGTCCGAGGCTTCCCATACCCTCCTTCCTTCTCTTTTCCTCTACCACAACGCGATTACAGTGGACTTTTTCCCTGTGCTAGACTCCAGTTGGGCCTGGAGCCTCCGACTGAGCACTGCCACCAGGTGGTGGACCAGTGCTGCAACGCCGAGGCCCTGCCTGTGGGGAGGGGTATGTGCCCCCCACAGCCTCCTGCCCACATGCTTGTCCCTCCAGTCTTCGTTCTCTCCCTGTTCAGGGACCCGGGCAGTGTTCCCTGCAGGGTCTTCTCACCAGTCTTGGTGAGGCGCTCCTGATGGTGACTGGGTGGCTAGCTGGTTCCTGGCAGTGCTGGGACCTGACCTAGACATCCTGGCTCCATTCCATGGTGCCTGGCCTTTTGCTACAGTCCTGTGGAGGTGGCTGCTGCCATCCCTAGTTACATATGGGAAAAACGCAGCTTGGGAGAGAAAGCGAGTCCTCTAAGGCTAGCCAACTGAGGCACTGCCTGATCCCAAGCTTGCTTTCAGCCAGTGAGCAGCCCTGGAACGAGTGACTGGCCGCTGCCTGGCAGACATGCTCCTTCTGTGTGGGTAACAAGTTGCCTGATGAGGATTTGTTGGCCACCCCAGTGGCCTATGTTTAGGCCAACTGTGTCCTCTGTGGCCTCTCGAGGGCCAGGTTTCTTTAGTCTGTCTGTCGCTCTTTTTCTTTTTAGAGAGCACACTCAGTGACAGGGCAAGTGAGAGTGATCTCTTTATTCCTTTGTCCGTTCTCTAATGTCTGTCTCACCCCCATCCCTCTGCATCCAGCCCTGTGCACAGGCCTGGGGGGCTAGGTGTGCCACACCTCACCCTATGGGAGACCACAGAGGCAGGAATCAGAATCTGCCACATCATACTGTGGGGATCAGGGAGGAGCTGACACTTAAACCAGAGTTCACAGAACATTTTCTTTTAAGGTCTGGGAAGTGCTGCATTAAAAAAATTAAACCAGGTTTTTACTGTAGGACTTCGCAGAGGTTTTAATATGCAAATTTGCTCTATATACTGTCAAGAGAAGAAGCAACCTCCAGCATTTTCCTATTGCCTGACCAAGGCACCTGCCAGGTGACCACTCAGGGTTCATACTGAGGAGATGAGGTGCCTTGTATTTCCTGGGGAGAAAGTGGTGGTTATGTGTGGAGAGCAGGTGTGTGTGGTCCCACTGAAGACTGTTCACTATGTCAGTGATGTGGGTGGGATCACGGGGCCTGCATATGGCTTCCTGTCCAGCGAAAGGGATAAGGGAATCTTGCCTCTGATCAAGCAGACTTCCTTTCTGGCATGGGTCTGTCTGGAGCCCTGAGGGGCCTCCCTGCTCTCCCAGGGGCCAGTCTGGACTCTAGCTGATGGGGTGGCAGCAGGAGAAGAGAGCCAGCTAGGTTTGCTCCTTGCACGGCTCTGAAGTACATTTTTACTTCTTACTGCTGTTTAAAAATTTAACCACTGCTCTATTAAGACTTCATGTCTGCTTCCCAATTCCCTGGAGGAACTGGGTTTGAATTCCAGGTCTGATCCTTGAGAGCTGAGCGCCTCCGGGCAATGTTTTAACCTCTCAGTTTTATTTTCAGACTGCTGATGTCAGCCTTGTTTTGAGCATTAAGTAATCAAGGCAGTATATAAAAAGTCCTTAGCGCAAGCCCTGCCCAGAGTGTGTCCAGTGAATGGTGCTACCTCTGATGGACTGCTCTGCTCTCTGTCCTTGTCTTCCAGGACCTGGTGACGATGGTGGAGCAGCTGGCCAGATTCCTGGGGGTGTCCTGTGACAAGGCCCAACTGGAGTCTCTGACTGAGCACTGCCACCAGCTGGTGGACCAGTGCTGCAACGCCGAGGCCCTGCCTGTGGGCCGGGGTATGTGCCCCTTTACAGCTCCCGCCCACATTCCTGCTCCCTCCCGTCTTCGTTCTCTCCCTGCTCAGGGACCCGGGGAGTGTTCGCTTTTTTCTAGACTGTTATGTCCCTTTAACAGCAGTATTTAGCTATCCTGTACCCTGTGCTTTGCCAGGGGTGAGCTCTGATGGCATGTGCTCACAGAGTGACGGCATATCCTACCCACTGGTGGTTGCACTGTCTCCGAGTAGTGTTTTAATTCAAAAGGGGTGACTACTGGGAATGTTTCAGGCTTTGTGGACAGAATGTTTTCAAGCAAAGGTCTTCCCAGATGGCCTGAGATCAGATGACTCACAGAGCAGATCCAGGTGTTTGGTGCCATGAGATTTCAAAGCACAACCTTTAACTGGCTTGTGGGAGAGAGTTAAATGAAGTGGCCAGAAGGCAGTTCCCATGTGAGGAGATGCCATTTTCCTTCCTTCACCCGGTGAGCATTGTCTGAGCAGCTTCTGGGTACAGGTGATACAGATGAGGCATAGCTCTGCCTCGGGGCAGGCAAGTGTGAGTGAGCAGTACAGAGTCAGGCTGGCACTTGCTCTTGGCGGCAAGTGACAGTTGGTGGGCATGAGGCAGTTGGAGATAAGGAAGATGTTCCCGGTAGGAATCCTCCCAGATCTGCCCGGGTTACTCTCCCTGTCCTTAAGGACACATGGCATTGACACTGCTTAGGAGTGGAGAATTAGGGCTTTAAAATCCCCTGAGCCCCAGGGCAGTGGCTGTGACCGTAGAGGGCTCCTCTTGGTAAGTATGAATCTTAGAGACACGTGGTGTGTCGGGAATGTCTCAGGTGGTGGGGATGTTGGAGGGGAGGGCCCAGGACCACACATGGTCTTCTGCGGCAGCACGTGTGCAGTATAGCAGAACGCCTGGGGTGCCTGAGGGATGAGCCGTGCTCTGGTCTCATCCTGCCCCACCTCCCTGAGACACAGCTTAGGTCAGGCCTTGAGCTTCTGCAGCTTTTCATTCTTCCTCTGAGAAGGGGCTGATCATGGCTAACGGCTATTCTGAAGGTCAAGGGCAAAGTCCTTATTAAGACAGAGCAGTCGACTGTATCAGGAAGAAGTTAGCTGAACCACAATACCTTGTGATATATTTCCTGGCTGCATCTTCACAAATATTTATTATTTAAAATTTATTTGCTCCTTTTTAGTTTTGCTTTTGCTGTGTTTTGTTATCCTTGGATGTGACCTTCTCCAAAATACCCCCTTGGTTCATTTGTGTGGTGAGGAAGTGTCGGAACATACTGTGTGCCCATATGCTCCTCCCATGGGTCTGCTTTGTCATTGTTTACTTTGGTTTGCTTTATTTCAGTTTTTTGATTTGTTTTCTTTTAGCACATTGCCTCTTTGCTCAGAAGATCTCCTTGAGTTGGTGAGAATGCAGGGGCCCGAGTAGCCAGCTGCATTGCTTAAATTTGATTCATATCACAGCATAAATTGTCTTGATTCCAAATCCTAAACCAGGTGGGTGACTCCTTTGATGAGTTCTCAGCAGTCTCAGCTGAGACAAATAGTCATGGAAAAATATAGTTTGGTTGGTCTAGAAGCTTCTAATTTTGTCCCTTAGGTATCATTAAGCAGTTGCAAGAATCATTTTTCTTTTTCTTTTTTCTTTTTTTGTCTCTCCAACACTGATACTTTTTCGTTACCAAAGAAAAATTCCTTATCATGTTGGATGCTTTAGCTCAGCATTTACAGGGTTGCAATTTCCTACCTGAGGTCCTGCCAGGACAAGGACAGCTGTCAGTAACGGAGCTAACGAAGGATCTGTGCTGGACAGTCAGAGCTCTGATCTCTTGGAAATGCTGGCAGTGGGAAGAATTCTAAATGAGTGGCTATTTAAAAGCCCGGGGCCTCTGCTCCGGGGATATGTTCACAGCTCCCACAAGTGGGAAGTCCAGAATACCCCCTCCCAACAGCTTCAGAGTCTCCTGGACCTGACCGACCTCAGATTTTGTAGTTAACAAGTAAAATGGGATCCGTGGCTTCCCTTGTCATTTCTAGTCCTCCTCTCCCTCTTTCTCTTTGTTTTTCCTAAGCCTTCATAAGCTGACTCAGACCAGTGTCTGCATATGAGTCCGCAGCTCAACACTCCTTCACAGCTGCCAGGAAGAGGTCTGGTTTTCTGACCTAGCCCGTGGTGGAGCAGCTGGGAATCGTGCTGAGACTTCTTTTGGTGTTGAGGCAGGGAATCTTGCTGCAGTGTACTTTTTGCATCTACTCTGTAAAGCTAACTTATGCCACGACTATTTTATTCACTCGAAATTCCCCCTCAAGGGCAGATTTCTTGAAGTCTTAGCCCTTGACCCAGTCAGGAGGGCTTCCTACTTGCCATAAAATTTTCTGCCCTTTGGACGATTTTTTTTTTCCTTTTTAAATTATCCAGAAGCCAGTGATGCCTTGGAGGAGCTATTGAGCCATGAGGGAATACTGGCATCATGGGGACCAGAGCTCCACGTGATACCCAGGGCAGTGCATACACTCAGCTGATACTGCTCATTCTCTGGGATGTTTATTAAAAACCCACATGTGCCAGGGCTGTTCTGGATACTGGGGACTCACCAGGGCATGCATGGCTCTGGCAGTGGTTGTGGCTCACCCCACTGCAGGCTCAGAGGAAAGATGGTTCAGGCCAGGCTCTGCCACCTCCAGTAGGTTCAGAAACATTATGGGACCCACCTGATCAGTAGCTCAGGGGCCTTTCCTGCCCTCATAGGCCAAGTTCAAAGGAGTCCAGAAATGGATCTGGAATCTTCCAGATCCATTTCCAAGGCTTCCTTTGGTTCAATAGCTGGCCTGACAGCAAGTGAATTCAGCAAACTCTGCCCTTGCTTGTGTTTCAGGAAGAGTTGGGCTATGGAAGGACATCTTCACCGTCTCCATGAACGAGAAGTTTGACTTAGTGTATAAACAGAAGATGGGAAAGTGTGACCTCACGTTTGACTTTTATTTATAATAACAGAAACAGCAACCTGCATGCTCACAATACCCAGACACTCTACTAGCCAAAAGTCCCGTATGCATTCATTTATTACTTGCTGGACAGACTCCGGAAGCAGTGTGTAAACAGCAGGGGGAGGAAGCAGCAGAGAAGGTGGAGGAAGTGTGATTCGTTCCCATCCACAGCAGCTGTCTCGCCGTTAGGATTTGAAGTCTCCAAGTGTCATATTCCAAACACGATTCTGGTGGCCTGTATCATACTTATAAAGTCTGTAACATATGCAGCTAGAATGTCTGCCTTTTCAGCCCCATATTATTTATTGTATTTTATAGAGATTTTCACTGGAAATCTAAATAAATGTCAGTAAACCAAATAAAAGTTCATTTCCAAGGGGAATCAAGAGCGAACCACACCTGAATGGTAGAAAGATCTCAGGGTAACTCTTTATTTTTGTAGTTTTGTTATCTAAGGCGCAGCCTTTGAGTTCTCACTTGGTTCTGATGTGGTGGTGAGAACCGAGGATGAGTGGGTATGTGTGGGGAAGCCTGGACATTTGCTGACTCTGGTGGAGTTCAGTTCTTTGTAACCTTCCTGAAATAAAGCAGAAACTGTTCACTAGGCTATCTTCAGAAGGGGTGTTTCTCTGCGAGAGACTTCCGGCGAGCAGCTCCAGAGGCCTAGTGCAGAGGAGCCGCACAGCGTTCGCTGGGGAAGCCTGCCTGAGGGGCCAGCAGAGGGGAGTCTAACGCAGACAGTGGTGTCTGAATGCAGTGCGTGGGGAGCTGCCGCAGAAAGACGGTGATGCGCTCGGAATTGGAGTTTCCTTCTGCCGTCTTGCTTTTGTTCCCTGAGGCCATGACCTCCTTATGCTGGCAAGCGGATGCTTCATGGTACATTTTTTTAAAACCCCAGGTCTTTTCACTCTGTTTGTTCTGTCTGTGCATGAGCTATCAGCTCTGGAAGGACCGTTTTACAAGTTTACCGCCCACTTCACTCAGATCAGGTGGACACTCCTGCCTTTGTCTCTGTCCACCCTGTCCCCTTGTATCTCTGAGGGCATCAAGAGGGGGTCATTGCCTCACCACCTGCTTAACTTTCTGACCCCAGTTTGCTGGAGAAGCCATGGGGATACGGCCAGAGGAGACACGGGCTGGCCGCCAGCCTGGAGCAGATTGCTACCGAGTGAGGACGGGTGCTGTGTCTGGGATTTGTGTGGCTGGGAAGTACCCACACTTGGCCAGAAGGGTCGCTGCTGTGGCAAGGGGCTCTGTGCTGTGGTGCCATCTCTGAACAGGTGCAGCGAGAAGCCCACATCTCCGCATGTGACCGGGGAGAGCTCAGGTGACACATGGCCTCACATGGTGGGCTTGGCAGCACCTTACCCTGTATCTGTGAGGGAGGCTTTCTGTGAAACTTCATTTCTATTTTTCTATTTTTAGTACTGTATGGCTATTGCTGAGCACTCCACATGAGACGTCTGTGCTTGCTTGCATCTTAATAAAGACACATTCCCTGCATTGTATCGAGCGTGTGTGCCAGTGGGTGGAGAAGGGGCCCCTGCAGGGTCCCCTCAACATTCTGGGACAACATGAGGGTGAGCCCATTGACACCCCGTTCCCTGGGGTTGGCTGCAGCACTACTCATAACGGGCCTATGTCAGGTTTCGATGAAGCAGAATTAATGCTGCTCCACTCTAATCCAGACTTCCCAGGGGTGAATCCCCCACTTCCCCGCTTACCTCTGATTGCTCTTGTACATGAAGGTGGAAGGGGAGGTAGGGCAGAGGAGATAGGCCTGGGGAGAGAGATCTGGATGTACCTGTGGGTCTAGGTGTCCCAAACACCATAGTCACCTTCTGCCCTGTGTTCGGCGTTGCGTGCCACGGGACGGGAGGGGCTGGCCTTGCCCAGTGCACTTCCCCACTGTGCATTCCAAAGTTTTTCTTCTGCGCTGTGGATTAAAAGTACAGGATGTTGTTTTCCCTGAGAAAGCTTGGGCCTTCTGGAAAGTCATATTTATTTTCAGGCAAACTGTTTCCTCTAGGTGAAATTCTAGAGTTTATTTTGGAATTAACACAGACTCCAGGCTAGTTCATCGAATATCCAGCCAGCCGTGCCCTAGAGGGTTTGCCGTTCAGTCTATATACAATCAAGCAGCCAAGATGAAGTCAGCATGTCTGGAAGCAAGTTTTTAAAGATGTGGGGTACAATTCAGGATTAGGTACATAAGAGGTCATTGTACAGGTGAAGCTTGGGCCTCCCACTGGTCTTTACTTCGCCTGATTTGGGATCAGGTAGCCTTGTTGATGTTATGTATCCCCCCTTCCCCTGCTAGTGTCTCACTACTACCAGTCCCTTTCATGTAGTTAATTTTTCAGGGTCCACTTACAAGTGAAAATGTGATACTCAGTTCTTTGTTTCTGTGATAGATCACTGAGTATAATGGACGCTGAATCCATCAAAGTTGCTGCAAAGTCCATAATTTTGTCCTTCGTTATGGTTGTGTAATATTCCATCATGTATATGTACCACATTTTTTAAAATCCAGTCCAGTTTCAATGGACGGCAGGGATGGTTCCATGTTTTTGCTCTTGTGAGTAGTGCTGGAATAAACGTGTGCGCAGGTATCTCTTGTAGAATGATTTGAGTTCTGGGTATATTCCGAGAAAGGATTGCTGGGTCTATGGAAGGTCGATTTTTAGATCTTTTAGAAATCACCACACTGAGTGCCAATTTATTAAATGCCCACTCCATCCCTGCTATGTTGACCTCTCAGAGTCAGCCATCTGCTAGACACATGAACACCTACTGTGTGTTGGGCACTGTTCTAGGTACTGAGGATGCAGCAGTGAGCAGAGAAAGCCCCACCTCTGTGGAGTTTGCACTCCAGTGGAGGAGACAACAGACCCTAGGGTAAGTTCAGGTCAGAGTGCTCTCAAGGGATGGCGAATATGCACATGGGGAAGGCCTGGGGAGAGCCTGCGTGCGGCAGGGGGCTGTGTGACAGCTACTCACAGCCCATGGAGAGCCTCAGGCCAGGAGGGCTTGGATTTTGCACTAAACAATACGAAGTCATGGAGAGTTTAATCAGAAGAATGCTACCTGGCTTGCATGTTTCAGAGCCCCCCTGGCTGCTGTGTGAGGAGACAGGGCAAGAGGGAGCTGTGTCCCAGCTGTGCGAGTCACTCTGTCCACAAAATGGGGCAGGGGCTGTCTGAGGACATCTCTAAGGTTCCTTCCCTAAGCAGACTGGTCCTAAGATTCGTGTGTTGGGTTCTGAGTATTATCTCTGGTTCCTGTCTTGCTCACTTGGAACCCCAAGATGAAGTCCAAGGAGCCAAGGCAAGGGGTGCTATGAGGACTTGAGGAAAGCCAGAATTGGGAGCCACCGGGTTGGAACAGTTGCAGGGGAGTGCAGATGGGGATTGAGGGGGCATCGCCTGGAGAACAGGAGGGTTCCAGGAGCTCCTAGTCCTAGTCCTTGTTATCTTACAAGACAACCCACCACAGTAGTCATGAATATGAAACCCCTAAATGTAAGTCAGTAGTGCCTGACTTTTTTATTTCTCAGACCAGTAACATTCCAGAAAGTCTTTTGGGGACAACATAGCATTGCCATCTATCTATCATCTGTGTATCATTCATCTGTCTTATCTAATCTATTATTCATCTATCTTATCTATCATCTATCCTGTCAATTATATATCATCTAACCTATCATTAATCTTTCATCTTTCTATCCAACTGTCCTGTCATCTATCTAATCTATCATTCGTCTATGTATCTTATCTATCATCCATTTATCCATCTATCTATCTATCTTTTTTTTTTTTTGAGTTGGAGTCTCACTCTGTTGCCCAGATCGGAATGCAGTGGCCGCTCCCTGCCACCGCAGCCTCGCCTGCTGGGCTCCGGCGATCCTTCCGCCTCAGCCTTCCGAGTAGCTGGAATTACAGGCGCGCGCTACCACGCCCGGCTAATTTTTTGATTTACTGTAGAGATGAGGTCTCGCCAAGTGGCCCAGGCGGGTCTCAAACCCACGGGCTCAGGCAATCCACTCACCTCAGCCTCCCAAAGTGCGGGATTACAGGCTGAGCCACCGAGCCCGGCTATCTATCTTATTTAATCTATCTTTTTTTGTTTTTGCCAAATAAGACCCTGAACTCCCAAACGGTAGCATTCAGCTGCAGTCCCTTCCCAGGCCGGGCCACGTCTCTGTCCTCGCGACTCTGATAGTTGTTTGGAGCTCACTTGCTTTTCCTCCATGCGGCCAGCACTGATTCCATGGCTCTGACCTGAAGCGGGTAAGTCAGCTCCTCCGAGCCAGTGTCGCAGTTTACACAACGGCGATCACCTTTGTCCTGCTCATTTTATAGGATGGTCATAACAACAACTAAAGAGAGAAGCCGCTTTGAAGGCGTAAGTAAAATTCACAAAACTTGTACCGAGTCTGTACAGGCACCGCCGACCCTGCCGGCTAGCCACTGCCCACTAGTGGCCAAGTTGTGGTTGCCGGCAGACAGCGGTTAGCAGCGTTAGGTGCGTGCCTGCGGTGTCCCCGGGGAGGGACAGGTACCACCACGCACAGGCCCCGTCCTGGGAGATCTCAGTAAGGGACCATTTTTGCCCACCTTTCTAGGCTGTGGGGAGGGGAGGCAGTGCTGTTGGTAGGAGGAGAGGGTCCTCAGGTGTCCGGCAGCTGTGCATCTACCTGCAGTCCCAACCTCCCATAGAGTTTGGCTCCCGTTCCTTGTCCATCTACCATCATCCTTCAGTCTTCGTTGTATGATGTGCAATTTATTTATTTATTTTTAATTAATTTTTTTTTTTTTGAGTTGGAGTCTCACTCTGTCGCCCAGACTGAAATGCAGTGGCCGCTGCCAGCCACCGCAGCTTCGACCTGCTGGGCTCCGGCGATCCTTCCGCCTCAGCCTTCCGAGTAGCCGGAATTACAGGCATGCGCTACCACGCCCGGCTGATTTTTTGATTTATTGTAGAGATGAGGTCTCGCTGCCCAGGCGGGTCTCGAACCCGCGGGCTCAAGCAATCCACTCATCTCAGCCTCCCAAAGACGTGGGATTACAGGCTGAGCCACCGAGCCCGGCGTGATGTGCATTTTAATACAGAAGTGAGCCCTGAGTGAGGTAGCCCAGCCTTACCCAGCCGAGGAATGGCCTCTGCCACAGCCCTGGTAGCTGGATGTCAGTTCCTGATGGGCTCCCCAGCTCCCAGAGCAGCCTCCGGGATCCCCTCTGAGCAGCCCTTTCCAGACACTTCTGCAGATGCCACCCCAGACAGGGCCCTTGGCCTGAGCCTCGGGACGATGACTGCCCTCAGTAGAGCCACCTACTCTGATGGATGTGGCCCCATGATGTCCCGGCCACGGTCCCTCATTCCCTCTAGCGACTCCTGCTTCCCTCTCACCATGCTGCCTCGCTGCTCTGCAGTGATCTTCCTCGTGGACAGGGTGCTCAGTGAGCAGCGACTGCACCCCACCAGCCTTCTCCTGCTGCTCCTACTTGGCCCCTGGAGGCTGTATTTTCCCAAACAAAACCCAGGCTGGGCTCCTATCTTCTTACCTCGCCCCCTAACTTCCTGCCATCTCCCCATTTCCATAGGGATGTTTCTTTAAAAAAAATTTTTATTTAATTTTAAAGATGTAGAGTACATTCAGGGTTAAGTATACAGATGTGCATTATGCAGGTACCCTTGTTGATGATGTTCCCCCAGGGGCAGAATTTCACTACTGCCAATCCCAGCCCCCACCCTAGCAATTTCCCACTACTGGCTATCCTTTTCTTATAGTATTATAATTGTTCAAGGTCCACTTATGAGTGAGAACATGTGATACTCAGTTTTTTGTTTCTGTGATAGATCACTCAGTATTATAGACTCTTTTGATAGCACAATTTGTTCCATGTTTTTGCTATTGTGAACAATGCTGCAATCTACATAAGTGTGCAGGTATCTTTTTCATAGAGTGATTTGAGTTTCTCTGGGTATATTCCCAGTAGGGGGATTGTGGGGTCATATGGAAGGTCGATTTTTAGACCTTTTAGGAAGCGCCAAACTGTTTTTCACAGAAGTTGTACTAGTTTACACTCTCACAAACAGTGTAGAGGTGTTCCCTTTTCCCCGCAACCTCTCCAGCATCTGTTGTTGTTTGAGTTATTGATGATGGCCATCAGGAACGGAGTTAGGTGGTATCTCAGTACGGTTTTAATTGCATCTCTTTGATGACTAGTGAGGTTGAGCATGTTTTCATGTATCTGTTGTCTGCTCGTATGTCTTCTTTTGAGAAGTGCCTATCGAGATGTTTCTTTACCATCAACGTTCGTGCCCTGGTCTTTCCTGCAAATGCAGCTGGGCTCGTGGTCTTCCCCTCGTCTAGAACAGCCTTTCTGATAAGTCATTGACTTTCCAAATCTAGGTGTTACTGTTTCTAGAGCCATTCCTTCACCTGCCCTTCCACCTCTGTCCCCAAGCCCAGAAACATGGTGCCCATGGAGCCATGGAGGCCCTC